TAATCGTTAAGTCTATCTAGTATAATATTCTTTGGATCAGCTTATTAAGAACTTTTTTTGAATGATATACAGCATGTGTCTTCATAGAAATCCAAGTTTGGCCCAGTGGTCTAGAGGTTAAGCGTTCGCGCGTAAGACCGGAGGTTCCGGGTTCGAGCCCCACGCGCGGGATCGTGGATGAACGCTGCTAAGGAGTCTCGTATTTGGACGAAACGGTCGTCCAGTGCTTCCAGGTTCTCAATGGTGATCTAGCTTACATCGACTCATGAATTCAACCACTAAAATTGCCACAGTCTCCACAAACCCACAATCTGATAACATGTAATATTTATTAATTAATAATCATCTGTGTGTAAATTCGATTTAAAAAAATCAGTGTGTTGTTCAAATTAGTTCACATGTTTTCTGAAGGATGAACTGAATTCTTTCCAATTATTAATCTCTATACTCTTAATTGAATCGTAAAAATTAAAGTGGCTTCCAGATCCAAGTTTTACAGTCATTACTCTTTCAATTACAATAATTTACGTATTATACTTAAATTCTCGTACAACTGGACACTGAAAACAGTATACGGGGAACAAATAGAGAGATGGAATTATGAAAAGGAAAAATAAGCACCAATCCGTGAAAAATAGTCAATAATAGAAGTCGTCTAGCTGAAAAACCTTTTTTTTTGTAGTCAAGAGAATTTTGCTGAATTTCATAAAGGAAACTAGTGTAGCAGCAGCCTTTGCATCAGTAGGCCTCTACATATATAAGGGAAAAAGCAAGATCCTCAAATACAACATGGAGAACCTCAACCCAATCACGCTTGGTTGCGAAACTCTGGAATCCTTCACATACCTGGGAAGCATCACCAATGAGCAAGGAGGATCAGATGCATACGTAAAGGCAAGGATTGGTGAAGAAATGGCCACATTCCTGTAGTTGAAGAACATATGGAACTCAAAATAACTGTCAACCAATATCAGTCACAATCTTCAATATGGACGTCAAGACAGTTCCACTGTACGGAGCTGAAACTTGGAGAACTATCACTACGATCATCGAAAAGTTACAAGTATTTATAAAAAGTTGTCTACGCAGGATACTCAACGTCCATTGGCCTACTGTGAGAGAGAACGAACAAGTTTCCAGCTGATGAGGAAATTAAGAAAAAAACGATGGAAATGGATAAGACATACATTATGCAAATTATCAAACTGCACCACGAGTCAAGCCCTAACTTGAAATCCTGAGGGGAAACGGAAAAGAGGAAGTCTAAGGAAGACATTACGTCAGGAAATAGAAGCAGATATAAAAAGGATGAATAACAACTGGAAAAGATTGCTCAGGATATGGTTGGATGGAGAGTGCTAGTAAGCGGCTTATACTCCTCCACGAGGAGTAACAGGCGTAAGTAAGTTGTGATTATGTCTACAAAGATTTCTTGATATTTGTAAAAGTTTAAATACTTCATTTGATCATTTATTCTCTTGTATAGATTTATAATGGATTACATAATACGACTCAATTGTCTGATTTTACTATTCGGTAAGATGTCTTTTTTTTCAAATTAAAGAAACCTCATTGATTTTTCATTAACAATATTTGATTTTTATTATTATGGGTAGTGGTTCAAGTCCCAGACTAATATGCAAGCTTTCTATCCACTAGCCTAGATGAATTATTTGAGCGAGAAAATCAAGCGATTTTGTTGATTAAATCCGAATAGTAAAAAATATGTATAAATGACTATCATCCATAGAAAATTGAGCCACATTTTCAATCAATAGTGTATATCTGTTTCCTTGGAAAATGAATCCAAGTTTTGACTGATAGAGTAAACTCATCAAGATTTCTCAAATATCATTTGGCTTAGGTCGAATTGAACCACCGTATCATGTACTATTTAACTCCCTCCATCATTTATCAGAATAGAAAACTCCATGCTTTACGAATTCAATAGTAGGAAGTAATATTCCTAAAAGAAGGTTTAAACACTTGTCATTATCCCTGAAAAGGGTGAGGAAAAACTGTATCACAAAAACATAATGATCCTATTAGATAATGTTATCAATTAAACCAACAAATATAACTCAGGATAGAGTTATTATAAGTTTGTTTGTAAACTATGAGTTTTCTGTCAACTGAAATCTTTGTATTAATTTGAACACGTAAATAGTGGTGTAAAGGGGCACCGAATACATATGAGCCACACAAGGTGGTCTTCTTAGGGGTCACATCCGGAGCCTACGACATAAAGGTCTAATGCACAAGGCAGTGGAGCAACGTCAGGGCAGGTTAAACATTCATAAATTGTAACCTGAAATATTTGATTTCATCAGAAACCTTTGTTGAATAAGCTTAGTGATACACTGAAATTAAACGGTTAAATTAAGTAATTTCGAATTGAAGCGCAGAAGCCTTGGAATTCAACATATCCGCATATATTCTAATCACATCCAACCAATAACAAGAACCATCCCAAAGTAGAAAAGTCCTACACCTTTGTTTCGCGCCAACTCTTAATTCCCAGACCAATGACCGGAATTCAACTGTTTCAATGTCTAATTCAATCAATTCTCAACTGTTATATCTTATTAGTTGAATGCTACTTGTTATATCTGGTCGTCGCTGATTGTTGTGTCGGAAACGCTTATCACTTATACTCGAAACGAGGGACCTCTGCAAATAACACGACACGAAAGTAAGAACACAAAGACTAGTATAAATGAAGATTTATTAACTCCAAAACACGACGACGACGACCTAGTCGAAAGCACACTCACTTACATATTGATTGTACACTCATTTTGATCAATAATTAGGATGAAATCACATATATAATAAATCACATACTGAGAATAGTTCATGTCAATGGAATACAAGAATATCGTATATTATACAGAATAAAATATCATACGAGAAAACAAAACCGAATACTACACCGAATAATCATTACATTGAATCAGAAAGGAAGTAATGTTGGATAAAACTCATTATGAGTAAATCAATAGAATTTTGACTTTTCTTACCATCATATCAACAACAATGCGCGACCATCTTCCGTTGCATTCGTTAGGTAATTGCATCATACCCGACACGGTTAAGATCCACTGGTCGTGGATTCTCATTAGAACTCAATGAAATTCAACAATCTCCACAAACGTTTACTGAAAATTTAGGATGTTAACTAAATAAACATGTATTTCTCAAAACTCAGCATCAATTTAGAGCGTATTCGAAAGTTATGTTTTATCTATTTGTCTCATTTAGTGCGGCCCTTTATTTTGTCGTTATTTAGATCGGACGTTGTTGTCGACGGGCTCTCCACTTTAGTGGCCCGAGTACTGACTCCAAGTAAATTGTATGAATGATTGTTATTGAATGATTGCTGTTGAATGTATATTTCGCCTATCCTCGTATATAATCATCGACTTAAATCGCGTTAGTCAATAACGGAACTAAACAAGTCAAATAACGAGAATGGACGTTTGAATACATATATTTTGTATATGAGGCAAATGGAATAGAAAGAAGCGAAACGACGCGCAGTGGAGATGGCGAGTAATCCAACCCCATTTAGTCAAGCCTTAATCAATATTTATAGTCACACAAGAATAGGCTACAGACATGTGATGAGTAATGAAATAAGAAGTGCACACACACATATGCACTCATATAAAAACAGTCAAAGTTGATAAGCGAATAATCAACAAGGTTAAAATACTACTCAACTAGAATGAATGGACTGGCAAGTCCGAAAGCTAGAATAAGATATATGGGCTTAACATGTCAATCGACACTACAATTGTCAGAACGAGCTAATTCAACTATAGAAACTGGCTTTTATCATTTCTATGGTATACAGTTCATTACAAAATTTAGAAAACGTTCACCAACTATCTTGAAAACAGACAGTCTTAACAGAGGATAAAAAAAACATTTCGTTTTAGTGACGTTAACATAATCCCTATTTCCAGCTATTAAGTTCAAACTTGGCATATATTTAGTATCTTTCTGCTTTCCACAGAAAATCAGTCCCATTTAACAGTTCAAGCCTGTTGGTAAGTTGTATAGTTTCTTTAGGTTTTTTGATTATCATGATAAATTAATGAATTCTTTAAATAAATTTTATATCCCTTTAATTTTCACAACTTTTTTACATCAAGTTTTAGTATCCTCAATAAATTCACTAGATAGTATTACCGATTCTGATGATTTGGATGAGATAATAAATGAAGAACCAGAAAATATGGTAACATTTTATCGACAAGATCGTTCAACACTATTTCCACGAGTTGGCAGATCAGATACAAGGAGAATGAATAAATTAAGACGAATGCTAATGAATAATCCAAGTTTCGCTATCGGTTCACCGAAACGAGCTGTTCGTATTGTACGCTATGGAAAGTAAATTGATCTTTGATTCACATTATTATGCTGTGTGCTAATTCTTACATTCAAATAATAATTAGTAATAAAATATGAGTATTGAGTTATGTATGAGCAATAATTAATTGTTCTTTATTGGAGTATGTTTTATTTATTGTTGCCACATCAAAGAGTAAATCGTTGTACTACACTCCAAGAGTTGTGTCTGATACAAATTACGAAGAAATCCATTCAAATGTATCTGACTACGATTATGAAAACGAAATAAATAACTAGGAATTCTAGCATTTAGATGGAGATATGATTGGATGAGTACTCTATTATTATCACCGTAGAATTGTAGGACTGATCACAGATCTAATGTTTAATGAAAGAATTGGGGTGTTGAAGAGATTTGGGAACTGCCAGTACTTTATGCAGTGCGTATATACAATACAAATGTGATTACAATTTGTTATGACGTGCAGTGATGATCACGTCCATTCATCACTTAAAGATTTTTAACTGATTCACTGTATCAAAATCCTATAAAATGTCAAGGCTGAGCCTACTACCAGTTATTTACTAAGACAATTATAGTTGATATACATAACAAGACTAATGAACAAAGAAATACTTGAGCGATTCTTGAAATAACGATGAAAAAATGACCAGTTTTTCACGAGGATACATAAAACAGATAGAACTAAAGTGTTTATAATATGCTAACATTATTTATAAAGATACATTGACAGTTTTTGATGTTTAAAATCATAGAACTAACTCCGTAAGTATTCATCATTATGGATACAGAGTATTCTTTCAATCCAATCATCAAATCGTTACTACTACATGTTAATCCTAATGCCAATTTAATTGAGGTATTAGAATAATAAATTATTTATTCATATCACCCATATTCTGATTGGCCGAAAATAGGACTTGACATTTTTAAGATCATCTAAGAGTTGCTAAAGATAACCATTGTATACTTTCATAATAGTTTTTTTTAATACATCCATGTAACCAGGGGGTGAGTTACAAAAAAAGTCTTAGCAATATTTCTTTTGTCTCTTCTCATTAAACCGAATCAATAAATGAGCACAAAGAGGTATAATATAAAAAAATTGAAAATGCTACTTAAACAATACAGAAAAATACTAAATTTTGTAACAAATATTATAAAGGAACTACAAATTATGGTCGCTTACAATATAAAAGTCAATGCACACATATTTGGAAGTATTAAAAATTTACACCAAACAAAATTTTATCAAACTGTACACCTGAGTCTATAGGGATAGTCACTTTGGAATCAAAGTGGACGGAAAGACGAGCGGCACCATAAGCTGCACTATGCTTTAGTTGAACTAATTCTAAAGTCCCTATCCATTTACTATCTTCAGACGGTTTCAGAAAATCTATAAAACCTATTTGAAATAAAGAGAATAAAACTGTGAAATTATTCGAGCTATTTCCCACGTTAAAATATGCCAGAAATAAAGCTCAAATAATAAGACAATGTCAGGTCATATCAAAAATAGTAATAGAATGGCTTATTTCTAAGTAAATGCTGACTGTGAGTCCTAGGTTCGACCCCGATATGGTCCTGGATGCACACTGCTGAGTAGTTCCATAACAGGTCAAAACAGTTATTCAGTGCTCCCTGTTCTTCAATGGTTGTCTAACTAGAGCCTGTGACACAAGCAAGAAAACTCAACAATCTTCACAAAACGCTTGCACTAACCAGGTGTTAAGTTGATAGTGATTATTGTCAATCATGATTTAGAGAATGTTGCGTGAAATCCATGAATTTGATCGTATCCAGACAGATATGATTAGGTATGACAAAGACGATCATCATATCGGAACATAGATTAAGTAAATCTAATCACCGTGTACCTCGACGGGCAATGTTTGTTATTGTATGAGTAGGTTCAAAGAAAGCTAGGAGCAACCAAATCAAGACATAGCATCAGTTTATAAATTAAAAACACTTACTTACGCCTGTTACCCCTCGTGGAGGAGCATAGGCCGTCCACCAGAACACATAGAAGCAACAAGGTACATTAATCTTTGAATACTAAAATTTATGGATAAAAAAGTTCGTTCAGTTTCAGCCATATATAATGGGTCCAGTTGCCGATCTATACCAACTATAAAATTTCAACAAACGAATATAGATCAATTGATCGGTTAATTCTCTTTGGCTGGAGGTTAAGTGTATAGACGATAGAGCCATTAGTTGAAATATTCCATGAATCGCTACTACACCACAATTTTGTAGAATTCGAAGTTAACGTTAAAAAAGAAATAATGGAAATAAGACAGAAGGGATATTCAACAGAAGCACAGTATATGAATGAACAAATGAGATTTTGGAGCGAAATTTATTCATCCTTTTTGGCTACAAAGTATTCTTACATCAATATAGCAGTTTGCGATGAAAACGTTAATGAATGATTTGCAAAATTCATTATTCATGTTAAAACCGTTTTATAACTGTAATATTATTAGGCTTTTTCATTTTAACTCAATTCATAATCAAACATTGATTATCGGTTGGCTGAAAAACCGAACAAAATTGTTTATATACTTTATTCATTTCCATCGAATTTTTTATTACAAGTTAATTTTAAACGTTATACAAAAAAAAAACGGAAAATTACCATCTTTGATTAGATCCCAACTTTTGAATACCGAACCACAACAAACAACTGTTAAGTTTTGATTGGGAGACATTGAATCCTATTATGAGAAAAAATGTTGACATGAGAAAGTAGGAAATATATTAATAATATATAAATAAGTAGTATGTGTTTCCATATTATTATCAATATAAAGAAATTTCAAGAATTGACAAATAAATACGAGAACATACAACTGATTTATCACTGATTAGTTTCCAATGGTGTATTTGTCCAGCCTCTTCTTAGTTGCTGATCAAATACTATCGACCGTGTTGCAATTTGGTCGCTATTCTAAATGACTTAATATTGCACGCAATACGTTCAGATGTCAAGTGGCTGGAGATAGTCAATAGGTAGAATTCAGTCAACACTTAAGAACGGACCAGAAAAACATGACATTAACCACTGTTCAGCTATCAATCAATTGTAATTGTCTCAGACATCAAAAGCCGCCCAAACAGCTCAGCGGTAATAGTTCAGATTGAAGCTGAGCGATACGAGTTGGAATCTCACAGAGAGCATTAATTCCTTTTAGATTGCAGGTAAACGTTGTTAACGAGTGTCAACTAGCACGAAAACTAGATCTAAGGTTTTCTGACAACTATCTGACAGATAAGGTTTAATTTTGCATTTGATAAAAAATATTTAAAGTTTTAAAAGCAGCTAATAATCAGTAGAGAAACAGTAAAAGCATCCACATGATCTTTACACTTAAACTACATCAGTAATGAGATTTCTAGATACTGATACTGGAAATATTAGATTAAATAGTCTTATACTGATATTCAAACCGATCTTCCACAGCCTACTTTAGTATGTAATATTTATTTGTAAAATATTTTATTCTATCTTCATTGACTACTCAGATTATTGGTAATAACATGCTGAATACGAGTTGGCATTGATCTCTACTCTAACCAATCTATACTGTATTATTTGTGATATTTTACAGATTAAAGAGTAACTGAATGGTTTCCTTGAAAATACTTAACTATGGATATTATTATCATTCACTCATCAATTTGTTATTGAAAGACTGAAGGTATTAACCATAATATTATTTATTTATTCAAGCACATAAAAATTGGTACAAGGAGGCACTAAATAGGTATGCGCCACACAAAGCATTCAATTTGTGTGGGGGCTGTGATACTGCCCGTGTGCCCAGACCGAAGCAGGTGATTTTCTTAGGATGACCACACCCGGAGCCTTTGATCTAAAGGTCTAATCCACAAGGCAATGGAACAACGTAAGGAGATGCAGTCTCATGGTAGACGGTGACCAACGATTGGTTCATACGCGATTTGTTCCTTCAGGGTACTGGAGCTCATGTGAAGAACTGGTTTGGAATCAGGATTTTCCAACTTCCATAGATGGACTTTCCATGTCCACCAAACAGGTTAAAGCGCCGGAAATTTTCTCTCCATGCTCTAAATTTCGTAAGCAGTGATAAGGCATAAAGGCAGCGAGTAGGACTCCCCTGGCAGTGGTTGTATGCATGTAACCATGTGAGAACAGTTCGAGAGAGAGGTGACTCTCTCCACTCTCAGCCGTACCAGGGAATTCGGGGGTCAATGTTCTACATTATAGTATGATGATTTTAATGAATTTTATGTTATCAACATTGAGGTAATTTAGTGCAATTCTACAATGACACTAAACAGTGAAAAGATAAAGACTCAAATTTATTAACTAAAAAGAAAATGAATTTATATTACAAGGATAAAGTACTACTTTAAATGTTAGAAAATCAGGTGGTTAAGTCAGAGAATGATTGCTTAAGCATGAATGGTACTGAGATAACTGACGTGATCAAATAATTATGGTATGATTAATACAACAGTTAGTGTATTACAATCGATTGATCACTGGGTGGTGATCGGTTTCATGTGTGTCAAGTTCTTCTTAGTACAGATCGAATGCTATCGATCACCCAGTGATCAATCGACTGTGATTACATCTCAGTCCTATAAGGAGTCGGTCGCGGCTGCGATAGCCTAGTGGTAACGTCTCTGACTATAAAGCTGGGTGACACGAGGTGGAATCCGTCAGGGAGCACCAGTCCCCTCAGGTACACCTTGCTGACGAGTACCAAGTAACACGGAACCCGGGTTTCCTGTTGACTACATCCAACCACCATATTACAACAGCTAGGGTATTAATTAAGAAAAAAAACACTGTGTAAATGATGTAGAATCGTGTGACACGATTACAATTTGATTGATAATAGAGGTCAAATGTTAAAAGTACGGTAATGTACAGTAGAATTATGTAATATATTACTAAAACTATTTTGGTAAAGCGAATTAAGTAGACAATTATTTGATTGAATATAAACAAGTTTAAAAAAGAAAACCTTTTTGACCTATCACAAAATAAATATCATGTTATGTTGTGATCTATATCACCATTATTAATCTTAAGGTTATTCGGTTAATTGTAATAAATTATTAAGATAACCAATATGATCTTTATAATGACTTCGCGATCAACTTTCAAATATGTATTCAAAAGAGTTTCATTTGAGGAGAGGTGAATAAATATCATAACAATCAAATGATGAACAACAAAACGAAACATCAAGTCTACATAAAGTTTTTTTTTTTGAAAAAAAATCGTCAAACGTTTCCAAGATGACTTGAAAGTTCTCGACTTGGTTTCTGGTAAAGTCGTGAGTATTTATTATTGAACAGTTCCATACTAAGACAAAACAACTAAGCAGTGATTCTTGGTTTACTATGATACCCTAACTGAGATCAATCTATAAAGAATACATAGTACATTTAGTAGCCTGATGTGTTCGCTTGTGGTGACGGGATCACCATTTTAGTGGCCCGTGATCTGACTCCAATTTGATCGTAATGATTGGTTGCTATCGTCTATCCTCGTATATAATCATTGACTTAAATCGCGTTAGTTAATAACGGAATTAAATAAGTCAAATAACGAGAATGGAGTTTTGAATGCATATATTTTGTATAATTGTTGATTAGACAAACGAACGACGCGAAGAGAAGAAAGCGAAGCAAAATTGACGAGCGGTGGAGATGGCTGGTAAGCCAACTCTCCTTTAACAAAGAGTTAATCAATATTTATAAGCCCACAAAAATAAATTACAGACATGTGATGAGTAACGGGATAAGAAGTGTGCATACGCCTACGCGCTCATATAAAGACAGTCAAGACATTGATGTCTCAGAAGATAGTCAATATCATACAGAATTCCTATGATGGATTAAACTGCAAAACCGTGCATGGAGGACAGTTGACAAAGTCGTTCGAAGTAAAGACCGGTGTCAGGCAAGGTTTCTTACTCTCACCCTTTCTCTTTCTCCTGGTGATCGACTGGATCATGAAGACATCAACATCTGAAGGGAAGCACGGGATACAATGGACAGCTAGGATGCAGTTGGATGATCTAGACTTCGCAGATGATCTGGCTCTTCTATCGCACACACAACAACAAATGCAGGAGAAGACAACCAGTGTAGCAGCACCCTCAGCAGCAATAGGTCTCAATATACACAAAGGGAAAAGCAAGATTCTTCGATACAACACAACATGTACCAATCCAATCACAATTGACGGAGAATATTTGGAAGACGTAAATACCTTTACATATTTGGGCAGCATCATCGATGAACACGGTGGATCTGATGCATATGTGAAGGCACGGATTGGCAAAGCAAGAGCAGCATATCTACAACTGAAGAATATCTGGGACTCAAAACAATTGGCAACCAACACCAAAGTCAGAATTTTCAATACAAATGTCAAGACAGTTCTACTGTATGGGGCCGAAACCTGGAAAACTACGAAAGCCATCGTCCAAAAGATACAGGTGTTTATTAACAGTTGTCTACGCAAAATACTTCGGATCCGTTGGCCGGACACTATTGGCAACAACCTACTGTGGGAGAGAACAAATCAGATCCCAGTGGAGGAAGAAATCAGGAAGAAGCGCTGGAAGTGGATAGGACACACATTGAGGAAAGCACCGAACTGCGTCACAAGACAAGCCCTCATATGGAACCCTCAAGGTCGAAGGAAGAGAGGAAGACCAAAGAATACATTACGCCGAGAAATGGAGATAGATATGAGAAAAATGAACAAGAATTGGATGGAACTTGAAAAGAAGGCCCAGGACAGAGTGGGTTGGAGAATGCTGGTCGGCGGCCTATGCTCCATTGGGAGTAACAGGCGTAAGTAAGTAAGTAAGTAAGCAAGACATTGATAAGCGAATAATTAACAAGGTCAGAATGTGACTCAAATAGAATGAATAGAATGAGCTGTCCGAAAGTTAGAATAATAAGGTATTTGGGCTTAACATAATGACAGACACTACAACAAATCAAACCAATTTCCACAATATCCTTCAGCTGAAACAATTTACTTGTCAGCTTCTCAGTTTAACTTTAACACATTTGGATTGAACTAAAAACACTTGGGTGAATTATTCTATTTATTTACATAGGACAGTTTAAAACAAATCTTAAACAGGGGTTTTGAGCTGGATTTTAAAGCTCAATTGGTAGAATAAAAACAACACATTGGTAATCTAGAGATCATGAATTAATCCTAATACTACCGTAACATACCCAGTCTTTTATCATTATTTATTTATTTGAACACATAAAAATTGGTACAAGAGGGCACCAAATATATATGCGCCACACAAAACAATGAGAATTTGAAGAGAAAAAATAATGGTAAGCAGCCCAAAAAAGAACAATAACGAACAGATTAGTGTGAGGTAGTGTAATAATGATAACAATGGGGGAAACAGAAAGGTACAATCAGAAGAAATCTTTTAGTTAAGGAAGAAGCAACCACTTTTTATGAAGAAAGTAAAAGAAGGTTACAGCAGGATCGCCACTGGCTTCTATTCTGAGCCATATCTGATAACGTCTCTAGCTGCTGTGTCGCACCATCTCTTGGACCCCAGCCAGGGAGTCGTGAAGGACCAACAGAAGCTAGCCCTTTGCAGCTTTCTTTCATACCACGACACCATGTCATATACTGACCACCTCTCCGCCTTTTCCAACCAGTCTCAGAGTCGGCAAATAATGCACGACGTGGAATTCTTTGGGACGACATTCGTAGGACATATCCAAGCCACCGAAGTAGGTGTTTCAAGATGGTGACACCAATTGCATTATCGTCTCTGTGCCCGAATACACGATGCCGAACCTCTGCATTACTAACATGGTGTTGCCACTGGATGTCAGCAATCCTTCGGAAACAGCGATGATCAAATACAGAGAGTCGTCTAACATCCTCAACTCGGAGAGGCCAGGTTTCACAAACATAGAGCAAAACTGCTCTCACTGACGCGTTGTAGATCCGACCTTTTACAGCCAGACTAACATCACGAAGGCGCCAAAGATGGCCCAGATTGGCATAAGCCGCTCTGGCTTTCACTATACGTGCATTGATCTCATCACTCACGCCACCACCAGCACTTATGCAGCTACCTAGATACACGAACTTCTCGACTAATTTTATCTGCTCACCATCCAGGGTGAGTACAGGATTAGAATCCTGCCAGTCTTGTACAAGTACTTTGCACTTCGAAGGTGCAAAGCACATACCATACCTACGGACACTGATTGCCAACTGATTAAGTGCGGATTGCATGGCTTGGGCATTCTCGCACAGTAAGACAATATCGTTCGCATACACAAGGTCGAAAATTTTTCTCCAGGCAACAGACGTTGGTACACTCAGTCTGTCCTCATTGTTATGATGGCTTGATAAATATGATGAAATACTGAAATGCCTTGGGAGGTGATTCAACCATAAGAATTTCAAACACAAAACTGAATATCAATGAATATATGTAATTAAAGAGATCAATATTTTAACAAAGTACTCAATCGGTATTGCATGATCAAATTACAGTGAACGAGAACACGATTGGGGATAATCGAATGTATATGAATACAAAATTACAGAATCCTTTAACAAAATCTGAGAACCATACAGTAAATATTTCATTTGCAAATCCTCCATCAATTGTCTCAGACTTCATTGTTCACTCGTTTTCACATCAATCATTCTCTGTTCTTGTTCTCTTTTCTTCGATCTTCTTAACATTCTGCTACCAGGTATTTCACTTTTGAATGAAGATACATACGACTTATATCTGTCCATATCAGTAGCATACACCATAAAATGACCGAGCAGATTGATCAATAATAAAACATTGAAAGCCTTACAGTAATTAATAGATCTTTATTAAATAGTCGTCTTAATATTCATAAATATAATTCCCTTAATTCATCCACGACTTAATTACAATCTAAATGAAATTTACAATTAAGATTCATATTACTGAATGAAAAATGGTAAATTTATTATTAAAGGTAATTACCATAACATAGTAATATAAAGCAGCTCTGACATGTTGAGCCAATTGAACACCGGCATCATGAAACACATCTTTAGCCAATTGATCTCCAGTTCGAGCAACTGGGAGAAAAGAAGAAACATTTGGTAAGCAACTTATAAACAAAAGATGCAGTGTTTAGATCAATTAAATAAATGATAAATAATATCACGCTATATTGATTACATTTAAAACATAAGTAGGTTGGTTAAAATGTCTGTCAAAATAATCTTTGAACTTGATAACGATGCACGATAAACGTTTAGTCATAATTTCAACAAGTGGATAAATAGTAGTATGACGTCGGTTCCATCACGCACTATTGTTTAGACAACCAAGCATAATTCTTAACTCTAACATAACAGATAAGACTCCTGAACTCATGCAAACCTCTATAGTATATTGAATAATTTTGCTGTACCGTAACAAACTGAAATACCTTCATTTCGTGATTGAATTTAAAGAAAGTTTAGCGAAATAAGTGAATTAAGGTGTGTAAACATGTTTATTTATTTATTTATTTATTTGAACACGTAAACATTGGTATAAAGAGACACCAAATACATGAATATGCGCCACACAATAACAATGAGGTCAGTAGCAGTATGAAAGCACAAAAACCGAAGCAGGTAAACATGTTAGATAAAAGATAACTAGTATGAGAGTAAGTCGAGAAGAAGTTAAAAGTATCTCAGTTAAAATATAACATTATTCCGTTATATTTAAACATGGATTAACTATGATTTGGTTATTTATTCTCTGAAGAAGTGGCTTACATTGAGTCACGAAACGCCAGATCTAATTTTTCTACTTATTAGGATATTACAAATATATTATTTATTATTCCGTTACTGAATTGACTGACTTTAGTAAGAGTACTTAAGAGATTATAAACTAATTGGTTGAAGAATGACACTGAAAACTGGACTACGAGCGTAAGTAACCAAGTATCATTTTCATTTCGACTGAAATTTTCAACATCTTACTCAGGTGTGTCTTTGAACTTCATCGCTAACATAACCGTGGCTCAAATGAATGCAAATTTCTTCTTTGTTATGTAAAATGAAGAAACTTGAAGTCGAGATCTACTGTGCTCAGTTTTGTGTGTTAACACAACTAATATATATATAGAGACCAATACCAAGATCTGAAGCATCAAAATGGAAACTATATGATGCTGTTATAGAAGGAAAATAGCAGGTTTGCCCCTGGGATCCTACACTAGATATTAGACAATTAGATAGGTAAGACTAAAATAGATCACTAAAATATTTGGTTATGTAATACATTCAACTCAATTATTCTACAAAACGACCAAGACTAAAAGTTTATTAACACATAACCCAAAGCAATCAAAGAGTGGGATAGCAGTGAAACAGTAAAGAAATCGGTTTAACATATCAGGTTAGTTTCTCATATTTATTGCGTCCGAATGTCCATCTCCATTCGTTAGTTAATCACGGCCTACTTTGACCGACAATATATCAGGTGTGTTTACTGAGTTATTGAGCGACTAAGATATGTTGCATAAATGACAGCAATAACCAGTAATATCTAAGCTTTTACAAGTATAAACTGAATGACGATGTTAGCCTTCATAAATTTTACGAAAAATCTCAATAGGTAACTCACATTGGAGCTTATAACAACATAAAAGAGACAAGGTGATGACATTATAGATTCCGAATACATTTTATATTTGTCTAACTTGTATATAAAGATGTGGTTTGTGAATGGTACGTGAGGTCTTGGACAATGAAATTATAATACATGGATAGTGGGACCTTATGAAATTATTGTAAATCGTTACATTTTCATTATGAATGGTATACACTATCATCATCCATCATACCATGCTCCAACAAAATAGCATATTTTTACTTAAGTTAAAAGGGTCAAGCTGTGATATTGCTTTAAGATCAACATGCATTTAGATAAAAATAGGATCTGGAGTTAAGATCAGGGTGTTCATTTGAACTGAAATACAACCATTCTGAAATTTGTATTCTAATGTTCTAGTATGGCTGTCTCCTGATTGGCTAAAAGTGTCATAATCTTAAAAGTTATTGTTCTGTGAGAGTATAATTTTACAAATCAAAAGCACAAACAAAAATAAAACAGACAAGTCACTTACTTCGAGAAAAATGTTCACATAGTCCAGCAATTTTATTTTTACTAAAATTAGTGTAGAAATGTTGAAGTAATTCTAGATTGTTTTCTACATTAAAATAGGCATAAATAACTCTACGTACATTATCCAAGTTATAAGTAGTATCTATGATTTTGTCATCTGATGAGATGAGTTTTTTTATCATTCGCTGTGCAATCCAATAACCTAATATAATAGAGAGAGGGAGGTCAGGGAGGAAAAACAATAATTGAATGAAGTTTTGAGTATAATTTTTTACACCGAACGGTATCATTATAATCGTTTCAAATTATTGGATTACGTTTTCATTTGTGTGAAATTTTTCCCATAAATTTGCATCAGTTCGCAAAGTGATGAAATTAACAGAGGACTTATTGAAGTTCGCCAATGATTTGATGTTATATTCCACCTACCGCATAAATGAAAATTCATGAATTCTATTATTAAAATTTTCACATGATTGACAAGTAGAGTAAATTCCTACGTTTCCTAACTTCGAATCAGAATGGTTCCAAGTATCTTTATTAGTTAGATGAGATTATATAATGTTTATCAAGTCTCTTTAAACAGTCTAATCGGTTCAGTGAACAGAAGCTTGGCTTCATCCTTGAAAGAATCAAGGGAAAAGTTGTCCGGACCTGGTCACCTGTAATGCTCCAAAAATGGAACCACTACTCAGACTCAGTATGACTTTGGAGTAGTTTAGTTTTATTTGCATACTCATAGATGGACAAGTATGATCAGTAACCAAAATTATTCATTATTTCACACCTTTCATTATCGTTCGCTATACATGTCTCACCTGGCTTCTCTGACTAATTAAATTTCTTATCTCTGTAATGATTATACTGATTTAAATTTCACATACAAATTAATCATTAAAGAAAGACAAAGCTTTACTTGTTTTAACTATAGTTTTCCCTAGACGCAAACTCAACAATGTTACGAAAAGTACTTCGACATATGTAGGAGGATTCGGGATACGTTCTCGAATAATTATTGGGCGCTCTTAAGCTTAACAGACATTTTCGTTATTAATGGCTTGGATGAGTTGGAACAGGTTCTGGAAGTTATCAGATCCAGCTGCTGCTTTTAATGCTGTGACCACCAGGTTTAGATTCGTGCGATTTCAAGGACGAGGGATTTATATGTATTATCATACTGGAGTTCCACCCGAGCGAACTGATCTGCGTCACATTTTAGGGGATTTAAAATAACCTAGTGTTCATGAGTTGAATGTTTTGCGAAGCCACAAGCTACATTACTTTTTATTTTCATGGTGTCTTATAAATCAAGTCAGTGCTCATCAACCCTTCTTGGTGAACTGACAGTTAGCCTAGAACCTAGCGCGGTCCCATAGTCGGACGAGATATTAAGTGTAGCCAATTAACTTACATCAATTCATTTGCGATATGACATATTTATGTAGTAAAACGCAAGGGTTTACTGTATACTAAATATTGATCCCAATTCAGAAAACTGCTACACACGGAATGGCATTCTTGCACAAATCTGAGAGGTCAGTAGCTGGTCGTAAACATCAGTCGGTTTAGTTCAAGCTCGAGTTACAGAAAGAAGAGGATAAGCAGGATATAGATCTTCCATATTCACAGACATATTTTGGATGCTAAAGGTTCACTTTAATCGAAGTTCTTAGACTAAGGCAGTGAACAGAAAGTTCCTTAAAGAAGTGATGAACGCGTAATGTTACTAAATCAATAATCTACATTTCTTTCAACCTAATGTATAACTTTATAACCATATGTAGAAAAACAAGTTGAATGAGACCACTACTACTGTTTTAATTTACGAGAGAAATTTGTAAAAAACAAATTTTCTGACTCTCAAATGAAAAAATAGAATCCTAGTTCATTTTTTTTACTTTTTTGGGGAATGTTTTTTAGGGCAATAGTCAACAACATGAGAAAAGACAACGAAAATCCTACCTGAACCGCTTTCACCTAGTAAATGTCCATAGCCACCGATACGTTGAAATGTTAGATTTTCTCGTATATAACAACATATTGATCCAGTTCCAGAAATTAATACTATTGCGGCTATATATACAAGATACAAGGTAAATGTGACAAATTTAATATGAGACATAATGAAAATATCATGTGCTTAATAGTGATTAGCTAAGAGAGCAAACTTCCCAGTGTTCTAGTAACCAACTATGACTAGAGGAGCTAAACATGTCGAGTGTGATGCAGTTACCCACCGAAGATAATGAAAGTTGATCGCGTTATTTCATGGATTGATTGAGCTTGAACATTAACACCGTTGGGTCCCAACTCAATGATTCAGAGATTAGGCGTTCATACGCGGGACAGAAAGTCCTGGGTTCGATTTCTGCATGCGGGATCGTGAATGCTCACTAGTGAGGGGTCCCGCAGCAAGGACGAAACGGCCGTACAGTGCTTGAAGAGTATTAGGTATCATGCAATTACGCAAATTGGCTACTTGGATCAAAGACGTAGTCTCAATACATTGTACCGTAAGCGTAATAAGCTGATATAAGTCACGAAACATACTACTATAAAAATTGTAGCAAATTTCATTAGCATAAATTTATGACTACACTAAATGATCATTTCTTGCTTGTTAGGATTCATTGGCAAGACATATTCGTAATTTTGACAATACTTAAGCTGATTCGAGAATCCAAAGACCTTGAGGTATCATACAGAGATTTTACTATCAAAATAATTCAGGCTGGTACTAATCCCTGTGATAAATGGATAATATCCTTTAATCAATCATATAACTGGACCCAATGAATTGGTCAAATCGCAAGTGATAATAAACTTCTTTTAATCAATAACTTGGAAAAATAAGTGAAACAACTAACCTTTATCACATACCGTTAAAAAGGTACCAATACTGTCATTACATATGTGTATTTCTTGTGCAACATTTGGACAGTGTTTTTTGATAGCATTCATTAGTTCATTTTGGTTCGCTTCAGTATCGGCACCACTCAATGATAAACCCTGAAAAATCGTATATTAAGTAAAACTTGTAAATATAGTGCATAGTTGGAAACATTCAATTCCACCTCCCCGTCACTTACTCAGTTTTCTACACCTAAGAGGAGTATTATTGTGTGAAAGGGAAGGTGTAGACCTGATACCTTTAAAAACATAATAGTCATGAGATATTTGGAAGACGTTTTTTATCAGATTTGATCACCTGCTTTTTCCTACCTTCAGACACTGAGGATGGGAAAAATCAATAAAATACGAAGAAACTAATGCTTCTGGTCGTCTTTGAGGGTTTAAATGTTTGATAAGTTACGAAATCAGCTGAATTAAATTTGAGCTCAAAAACTTTTACCTTATAGCGATTCCTCTGATTTATAGAACTTTCTACAGTACTCATTTTGATAGTTCTCCTAGATGCATATACTTCTGTTTTTTGTATTTGTTCTACAATTTTTTTGTTGGACTTATTATTTATTTATTTATTTTAACACATAGGTATTGGTACAAGGAGGCACCAAATACATATGCGCCACACGAATCTCAATTGATTTGTGTGAGGGCTGTGATACTGCTCGGGTGCCCAAACCGAAGCAGGTGGTGGTTGTCTTAGGGGGCCACACCCCGAGCCTTTGACCTGAACGTCTGATCCACAAGGCAGTGGAGCATCGTGAGGAGATGCAGTCCCATGGTAGCCGGTGACCAACAATTGGTTCATACGCGATTTGTTCCTTCAGGATACTGGAGCCGGCCCATGTGCACCATTGGTTTGGGATCCGGTTAAAGCGCCGGATATTCGCTTTTCGTCCTCTCATTTTCGTAAACAACACCCCCGCCACGTGAAGGCAGTGAGTAGGACTTCCCTGGCAGGGGCTATGTACGCGTGGCCATGTGAGAGCATTTCGAGAGGGAGAGCGGACTCTCCCCACTCTCGGGCGTACCAGGGCATTTGGGGGCATTTACCAAGGCATTTGTTGGACACACCATCGCAGTGCTGAATAATGGAGGATTGCAGTATACTGAACATAAAAAGACTACTTGTTTCCAAGTCACAAGATTTCCTTCTATTTCTTAACTTGACGTCTTCCACTAAAAAACGCCTTCAGTAAAATATATGCGAGGTAAATTCCACCATAACATATATCAATGAATTCTTGTTGGATCGTTGTTTTGAAACAAAAAGTTATTAAAAAGCACTGAATGATGGTCCCTTTTGTGAGTTACATGACGCTCACTTAATCCATCAAAATATCAAATTTGATGGTGGACACATGTAGCTCACAATGAGAATGATGGAGTCAGTGGGATCTCTGAGCTGAATTGATGCATGTGTACATAAGTTCCGCAGGGAAAAGTTGAATTACTGGAAAGAAGAATGATATGCCTTGTCAATTGAACGCTACTTATTATATCTGGTCGTCGCTAATTGTTGTGTCGGAAACGAGGGATCCCTGCAATTCCCACGACACAAAAGTAAGAACACAAAGACTGGTATAGTGAAGATTTATTAACCCCCCAAACAAGCAAACAATCCTGACAATCTTCTTATTGTACTCTCTGATGTCGTTTTCGGCATGTCATATACTTCTGGCTGTTTTATGAAAGCATCGACAACAACTAAGTAATTTCTGCCTTGATTTGGACCGGCGAAATCAGTGTATATCCTTTGCCAAGGTCCGTCCGGTTCTAACCATTCGACTGAGGACGGCACGGAGGTGGCTGCAGATGATATGCCATTATCACTGAGAAACCGTTTGAAAGCAGATGACATAAACTGAGTGCCGTTGTCAGTCACTAAGATCTCTAGAGCTTAGATTTTTAATATGCCGCTTATATCTTGATCACTCGAATGCTGGAACCCTCTTCCGTCGCAAACGAGAAGACAAAAGACAAGTGAAAGGAGTGCTATACCAAATAGTGTCCATAACTTGTTGGAGGATTGAAGGGGAGGTCCTTATTCCAAAAGGAAGTGTGTTATATCGGAACAACCCTTTACGTGTGTTTATTGTCAAGTAATACTTGCATTCTTCGGCTGCTGGAATCTTCAGATAAGCTTCTGATAGATCCAGTTTTTCAAAATACTTCCCCTTATTCAGTTTCGCAAATAAATCTTGTGGTAACGGCAAAGGGTACTGATGGGCTTCAATTGCTTCATTTAATCCAGTCAAATAATCTGCACATAACCGGATACTTCCATTAGCCTTCTTAACAATCACTAATGGTGCTGCCCAATCAGAAAAATTCACTGGTTTTATGATTCCATTTCATTGTAGGCGCTCTAATTCTTGTTCAACAATAGGTAGCGCTGCATAAGGTACCGTAGGTTCTAATCTAAAAACGGGGGTGACTCCAGGTTTGAGAATTAGTAGTGCTTTTACCCCTTTGCATTCCCCCAATTCTTTCGTGAACACTTGACTATGTTTTCCCAACACAACACTCCTCAGACTCTTTTCCGCTGGTTTGTTGGTTCTCATGCAGCTGCATATGTGGTTAATGGAGTGGTTTGCTAGCTGTAGTGTTTCTATTAGGTCTAGACCCAGCAAGTCTAGACCTGCATTCATCTTCGCATTGCCTTTTGAAAGTGTACAGCGAACCCCTGCAACAATATTTAATTTTCCTCTAGATGCACTATTAGCTAACTGGGTTGTTGGGAGCACCTGAGGTTTTCCAATATGCTTCTAGGTTCTTCGGCCAATAAGTGTGATATCGGAAGCAGTGTCGAGCTGCAGACGGGCACGGTGACTGTCAACCTCGATAGCTACATATTTCCGTCGACTATTTTCTGATAGTGTATGTGCTACCCTTATACGGCTGGTTGATGCATGGGGTTTATGTCTCTTGGAATAAAATCGCGATGGACGACGATATATCTTCTTTTTACAGCAAAATTCTTCATGTCCTTTTCGCTGACACCTAGTACAACGATAGCTTTTATATGGGCAAAACTTCTTGTAATGCCACTTGACGCATAACTAGCACGAGGATCGAGGCTGATTGTTTGAGCTGTTCTGCTTACGTACAAAAGAATCTTCCTGGCCGTCTATTACCAGTACACATGGTGGCCGGCCACTGTTTTCAACTACAGAAGTGTCATGTTTTAAGTTCATCAACATTTGACACTCACTAGTCACTTCTTGTAGCGTTATATTTGAACATTGTTCAGCTTTACTCAGAATTCTGGTTCTGATATCGGCATCTTCAGGTGACTGGTTGACACGCTTTACGTATACCACCTACCTAGCTAATAGTTAGCCCAACGCACATTGTGACTAACACTAAATTGGTAAAAGAAGATAATGGCTGGTCAGATGGAGATGTGGCATTAATTCATGAAGTCACTGACTGTCGGTTTTAGTTGTCTAGTAAAACATGCACACATGCACAAGGAGTTGCATTGATGCTGTCCAAACAAGCACAAAATGCACTTATAGGATGGGAATCTCATGGACCAAGAATCATCAAAGCCTCCTTCAAAATAAAGAAAGAGGGTATTACAATGAACGTCATCCAATGCTATGCGCCTACCATCGAATACAATGAAGATGCTAAAGATCAATTCTACGATAGGCTGCAGTCAATCGTCGAGAAGTGCTCAACAAAGGACCTGACCATTCTGATGGGAGATTTAAATGCCAAAGTTGGAATTAACAACACCAGATATGAAGAGATCATGGGAAGACACGGACTGGGAGAAAGGAACAAAAGTGGTGAGAGATTTGCAAACCTATGTGCCTTCAATAAACTGGCCATAGGCGGCACTATATTCTACAAAAATGTATTCACAAAACCACATGGAATTCACCGGATCACACTACGCAAAACCAAATCGACCATATCTGCATCAACAAAAAGTTCAGGAGGACGATGGAGGACGTGAGAACCAAAAGAGGAGCTGATATAGCATCAGGTCATCACTTGCTGGTCGCCAAGATAAAATTGAAACTCAAGAAGCACTGGACAACGGGGCGGACAATATCCCAAAAGTTTAATACGGTTTCCTTCGGGATGATGACAAACTCAACAAATTCAAAATAGCCCTCAGCAACAAGTTCCAAGCCTTTCATGATCTACTCAATGGAGAAGGAACTATTATGGAGAGCAACTGGAAAGAGATAAAAGAGGCAATCACTTCAACATGTCATGAGGTTCTGGGCCAAAAGAAGCACCACCACAAGGATCGGATCACTGTTGATACACTGGATAAGATTCAAGAAAGGAGGAACAAGAAGACAGCAATCAATACCAGCCGAACAAGAGCAGAAAAAGCCAAGGCACAAGCTGAATGCGCAGAAGTAAACAAGCAAGTGAAGAGGAGCATCAGAACCGACAAACGTAAATATGTGGAAGATTTAACAGTGACGGCAGAAAAGGCTGCAAGAGAAGGAAACATGAGACAACTGTATGACAACAAAGAAACTCTCTGGAAATCACCGTAAACCAGAACGACCAGTGAAAAACAAGGAAGGCAAGATAATCACCAACATTGAAGAACAACGGAACAGGTGGGTAGAACACTTCAAAGAACTCTTGAATCGACCAGCCCCACTAAACCCACCCAACAACGAAGCAGCACTCACGGACCTCCCAATCGGTGTTGGCCCACCAACAATTGAAGAGATCAGCATGGCTATCAGACAAATCAAGAGTGGCAAAGCAGCAGGACCAGACAACATCCCGAAAGAGGCACTGAAAGCAGACGTGGCGGCAACTGCAAGGATACTCCAAACTCTCTTCAGAAAGATCTGGGATGAGGAACAGGTACCAAAAGACTGGAAAGAAGGACTTCTAGTCAAAATACCAAAGAAAGGCGATCTCAGAAACTGTGACAACTACAGGGGAATCACTCTTCTTTCAATACCAGGAAAAGTCTTCAACAGGGTATTGTTAAACAGGATGAAAGACTCCGTAGACGCCCAACTTCGAGACCAACAGGCAGGATTCCGTAAGGATAGATCGTGCACAGATCAAATCGCAACTCTACGGATCATTGTGGAACAATCAATTGAATGGAATTCATCACTCTTCATCAACTTCATTGACTACGAAAAAGCATTTGACAGCGTGGACAGAACAACCCTATGGAAGCTTCTTCGACACTACGACGTGCCTCAGAAGATAGTCAATATCATACGGAATTCCTATGATGGATTAAACTGCAAAACCGTGCATGGAGGACAGTTGACAAACTCCTTCGAGGTAAAGACCGGTGTCAGGCAAGGTTGCTTACTCTCACCCTTTCTCTTTCTCCTGGTGATCGACTGGATCATGAAGACATCAACATCTGAAGGGAAGCACGGGATACAATGGACAGCTAGGATGCAGTTGGATGATCTAGACTTCGCAGATGATCTGGCTCTTCTATCGCAAACACAACAACAAATGCAGGAGAAGACGACCAGTGTAGCAGCACCCTCAGCAGCAATAGGTCTCAATATACACAAAGGGAAAAGCAAGACTCTCCGATACAACACAGCATGCAACAATTCAGTCACAATTGACGGAGAAGATTTGGAAGACGTAAATACCTTTACATATTTGGGCAGCATCATCGATGAACACGGTGGATCTGATGCAGATGTGAAGGCACGGATTGGCAAAGCAAGAGCAGCATATCTACAACTGAAGAATATCTGGAACTCAAAACAATTGGCAACCAACACCAAAGTCAGAATTTTCAATACAAATGTCAAGACAGTTCTACTGTATGGGGCCGAAACCTGGAAAACTACGAAAGCCATCGTCCAAAAGATACAGGTGTTTATTAACAGTTGTCTACGCAAAATACTTCGGATCCGTTGGCCGGACACTATTGGCAACAACCTACTGTGGGAGAGAACAAATCAGATCCCAGTGGAGGAAGAAATCAGGAAGAAGCGCTGGAAGTGGATAGGACACACATTGAGGAAAGCACCGAACTGCGTCACAAGACAAGCCCTCACATGGAATCCTCAAGGTCGAAGGAGGAGAGGAAGACCAAAGAACACATTACGCCGGAAAACGGAGCTAGACATGAGAAAAATGAACAAGAATTGGATGGAACTAGAAAAGAAGGCCCAGTACAGAGTGGGTTGGAGAATGCTGGTCGGTAGCCTATGCTCCATTGGGAATAACAGGCGTAAGTAAGTAAGTAAGTAAGTAAGTAAGTAAGTAAGTAAGTAAGTAAGTAAGTAAGTAAGTAAGTAAGTAAGTAAGTAAGTAAGTAAGTAAGTAAGTAAGTAAGTAAGTAAGTAAGTAAGTAAGTAAGTAAGTAAGTAAGTAAGTAAGTAAGTAAGTAAGTAAGTAAGTAAGTAAGTAAGTAAGTAAGTAAGTAAGTAAGTAAGTAAGTAAGTAAGTAAGTAAGTAAGTAAGTAAGTAAGTAAGTAAGTAAGTAAGTAAGTAAGTAAGTAAGTAAGTAAGTAAGTAAGTAAGTAAGTAAGTAAGTAAGTAAGTAAGTAAGTAAGTAAGTAAGTAAGTAAGTAAGTAAGTAAGTAAGTAAGTAAGTAAGTAAGTAAGTAAGTAAGTAAGTAAGTAAGTAAGTAAGTAAGTAAGTAAGTAAGTAAGTAAGTAAGTAAGTAAGTAAGTAAGTAAGTAAGTAAGTAAGTAAGTAAGTAAGTAAGTAAGTAAGTAAGTAAGTAAGTAAGTAAGTAAGTAAGTAAGTAAGTAAGTAAGTAAGTAAGTAAGTAAGTAAGTAAGTAAGTAAGTAAGTAAGTAAGTAAGTAAGTAAGTAAGTAAGTAAGTAAGTAAGTAAGTAAGTAAGTAAGTAAGTAAGTAAGTAAGTAAGTAAGTAAGTAAGTAAGTAAGTAAGTAAGTAAGTAAGTAAGTAAGTAAGTAAGTAAGTAAGTAAGTAAGTAAGTAAGTAAGTAAGTAAGTAAGTAAGTAAGTAAGTAAGTAAGTAAGTAAGTAAGTAAGTAAGTAAGTAAGTAAGTAAGTAAGTAAGTAAGTAAGTAAGTAAGTAAGTAAGTAAGTAAGTAAGTAAGTAAGTAAGTAAGTAAGTAAGTAAGTAAGTAAGTAAGTAAGTAAGTAAGTAAGTAAGTAAGTAAGTAAGTAAGTAAGTAAGTAAGTAAGTAAGTAAGTAAGTAAGTAAGTAAGTAAGTAAGTAAGTAAGTAAGTAAGTAAGTAAGTAAGTAAGTAAGTAAGTAAGTAAGTAAGTAAGTAAGTAAGTAAGTAAGTAAGTAAGTAAGTAAGTAAGTAAGTAAGTAAGTAAGTAAGTAAGTAAGTAAGTAAGTAAGTAAGTAAGTAAGTAAGTAAGTAAGTAAGTAAGTAAGTAAGTAAGTAAGTAAGTAAGTAAGTAAGTAAGTAAGTAAGTAAGTAAGTAAGTAAGTAAGTAAGTAAGTAAGTAAGTAAGTAAGTAAGTAAGTAAGTAAGTAAGTAAGTAAGTAAGTAAGTAAGTAAGTAAGTAAGTAAGTAAGTAAGTAAGTAAGTAAGTAAGTAAGTAAGTAAGTAAGTAAGTAAGTAAGTAAGTAAGTAAGTAAGTAAGTAAGTAAGTAAGTAAGTAAGTAAGTAAGTAAGTAAGTAAGTAAGTAAGTAAGTAAGTAAGTAAGTAAGTAAGTAAGTAAGTAAGTAAGTAAGTAAGTAAGTAAGTAAGTAAGTAAGTAAGTAAGTAAGTAAGTAAGTAAGTAAGTAAGTAAGTAAGTAAGTAAGTAAGTAAGTAAGTAAGTAAGTAAGTAAGTAAGTAAGTAAGTAAGTAAGTAAGTAAGACGTTACTTTCATATTGGAGACGCTAAATGGTATAATATGGCACCCATAGTTGCATTCCACTCGTAGCCCCTCTGAGGCTACTGCCGGTCTCAAGCCCGGATAAAAGGGGAGGGTTAGGCATAGGGTTAGCGACCCCATCCCGTAGAAAGCTAACTCGCTAAAAAAACGCTAACCAGAAAAAATAATTCAAACCATTTAAACTCTGCCCTGAGAGTTAGAAGGTCTTCATTTAGAAGAATTATCACGCCTCATAGTGAAAGCCGAGTTCCTTCGGAAGTCACGAGGCTGATGCCCCTTCTGACAACTAGAGCAACCATTAATTTAAGTACATGAAATGCTCGTACAATGTGGGAGACCGGAAAAGTCATCTAAATTGCTTCAGAAACAGGACAGAGTGGGTTGGAGCATTTTTACGTTCTTTAGCAGGTGAAAGCTGCATATAACAGAATGATTTTCAATAAGGATTTCATTTCAGTCATTTAAAGCTATCCACAAAGGTCTTCTATGAGCATGACACTGTAGCCCATTCCAAATTGGATAATGAAATAAGCAAATAAAGTGAAATGTAGAGCTTGAAAAAAAATCCTCAATCAAAATTATACTCTGACATACAGAAATCATCCACTAAATGGACAGGAAAATACCTAGAAATGCTTGATATCGTACACATATTAAACAATGAAAAGTGGATGAGCTACAAATTTACGAACATGTATCATATCTCTCCAAGAATACAGCGTTTAACGAAGCAATTGGTATTACTTTTAAATCAGGAGTGGAAGTCACCAAATTAAGAATAAACACTTACGATAGTGCAGAGTATCATAATTCATCATAAACATAATTACCTGAACAGCTGACTCGAATTTATATGGAAGTTTTAAATTACATAATCAGCTCATTCAGACACATTAACAAAATGGTACATAAAGGCTATATTAGGAAAATCAAGTGAAAAAAAAAACATTTTCGGAGAAATACTTACTAGATGGGCAAGTGTTTCTGTTGGTTGTCGATTAGAATTGATTAGTACATCTTTCACGAGGTTCAAAATACGTTCAGCAGCTTCTTCTAAACCTAGTAACTAATAATTTTAGAAATCAAAGAATAAAAATCTATGAACTTTTCGGAATATGAACAATCAATGTAGTTTTCTTCGTACGTTATATTCGTTATAGACTAATCTCAACTAAAGTATCATAGAAAAACAAGGGATTAATGGACAGTCGCTTACTTCTAGTAGATTTTTCAGAATTAACCTACAACTTGAAGCAATTTCTACAAAACCTTTTGAACCAAACTATAATAATCAAACAACTAATGACTTCAATACACTCACGAAGTAATAGTGAGAAGCCATAACTGCTGGAGTTCAGGTATATTAGGGGTAAAACAGTTATACGAAATAGGATTAGATGACCGTCACGTTATATCACACATTGATTGAAAATTAAATCGCAACATCGAACACTGATCAGGTGGTTTGGATGAGTAAGTGTTAACCACAAAATCTTAAAGTCCTGGTTTTAGTCTCTAGGATGGGCTTTGCCTCTAGTGGTCCGTTAACTGAAATTAATCTAGGACGGATAAAATCGATTAAATGGAACTAATTTCTACAATACATCCTCAACAAAACTAAGATATAAATAAAGACAGTATATTTGTATTATCTCAATGAGTTAGAAAATTAATTTTCTAAAATTTCCTGACATTTCGCGACTCAGTGTAAGCCACTTCTAAAGAGAGTAAAGAAACAAATTAAATTAACCCAAGTTTAAATAGTACAAGGGAACAAAGCAATAATATTTGGTGCGATCAATCGAAAATAGGTCTGGTCAAGTCAGTGTCATGTCATTTCGGTCAAAGGTGATCTATATGAGGTGTAACTGTATATTTGTGTGTATGTTAGAAGATAGAAAATTTGACATATGTGATGCGAAAGGATAAACAAACAAAATTTAAGCATGCTAGTTGGAAAGAGATGCATGTACGAATCATGAAATAACTTACCCATGGATTTGTGGGAGGTCCTTCAACATAACCTAATTGATTTCCTGAGGAGTCCAGTAAAACTATTCGAGAAATCGTAGCACCCCTATGCACAGTACAGAATAGTAAATGGATCACCACATTAAGATAGCATAAAACATTGTAAAATAGTATGTCAGTTCAGATATATTATAGCACAGAAAGAAAGAAAACTGATAAATATAAACAAATTTTTGGCTAAATGGAGTGAACAAGTATGGAAATGTTAAAACTTTCAATAAATCATACAAACATTTTATTGTTAAAAGGTGTTATAGGAGTGTTTAATAACCTAGAAACGAGATCTTTAAAAATTCACTTATAAACTAATATTAAATATGCACTCATTAGTCATCTGGTTCAAGGACTTCACTACATGACTACTCATTCCTTTATGCCTATATGCCAGAAATGTTCTTCCCATTTGACGACTGAAAATGAGATTTCAAATAAATAACTGTTTGGTTTAACTGACCATTTAACTGAGGTTACTTAAGGTGTTACAATACGTACGAATGCAGATATACATTCAGAAACCGTAAACAAACGTACTCACGAGTCGTCTATTCCATCTACACCTAAGTTCACAGAAATGACTGATAGTAACTTTAACGATCGATTTCGGGCCGAGTAACAATCAATAGCTGAAGTGCTAAAAGCATGGAAATTAATTCTTGAATCCGTATCATTGTAGTCAACCTGTCAAAAGCTGTGAATCAGTTTCGGAGTTATTCTATTCGTAATAGAATTTGAAGTCATCAGACGGAGGTTGATAATTGCAAAATGAAAGACTTTTCAGTTTTTTTCGAAATCCAATCTACGGCGCTACAATGCCACAATTCCCAGAGTAATGCTTTGTTATTTTTGTAAACCTACATTTCTTATTATTAGTCAAGTATAGTTGTATCCCTTATTATGAGCTATTACAGTCAAGTGTAATATTTAGTTGAAGAGATTTTACTTATATACCCAAAGCCATTTGTTGCATACACATTCATCTAAGGTGGTACTAGCAGTATAAGCGATTAGAATATATAACTAGAGCATATTATAACCATGTTCGTAATTCTGTACTAAATTATAAAGAAAATCTACTTGGTGAAGTACAATGATATTACCTGATTACCCGGCTCATGTAAGTCGGAACTTTTCTGAATGCAAAGGTAATGCAGTCTACGTTAGTAATTTTAAGTTTAGTGTTACCAAAAAAATGTGAGATGGAACGTCAGCAGAAAGTAATCTATGACATTTTACTATTTTATTGTGCAACTGACCCTATGAAAACAATATCAAGCAAGAAACGTCCAAAGAATTTTAACGCAACCGGTGAGGGTTGTGATTTTTTCACAAACCTAAGGATTCAGTAAGCAAGTTATTTATTTATTTGAACACATAAATATTGGTACAAAGGGGCACTAAATACATATGCGCAACCTAGAAACATCCACATTCAAGACATGTTTTACATAAGATTTAGAGAACACGAAACAATTACATACTTACCCTTCTATGCCGGCAATAAGTAAAGCCATAAAAAGTTTGGTTTAACAGATATGCCGAAATGTTGAATGTGTAGACTGTTCCAAATCAAAATTCCTGTTTAGTGTTTACTGGCCAATCAGCATCAGTTGGAAATGTTAACGGTTTTCTAGATAAGTTGCATGTAATACACTCTGCAAAGTAAATTTATTACAAAGTTTCATCATAATTATGACCATATATCAACGACTGGATAAGAAAGAATAAACCAATGTAGAACGCGAATTCGTTTACAAAAGGAAAAACTTTTACTTTTCCTTATTACTTACAATGGTTTGCAGTTGCTAAGGTGAGAAATCCCTGGTGAATGAATCATGATTCAAAATCTTGCTTTATAAAACTTACATGCCACCACTTCCACTGTCACTCAAATAACGACATTGTTGCTTTATAAGCCAATTGGTATCTTGATTATAAGTGAAATAGTAAACATGCGCACCTACTCCATTCTTTATTATTTACAGCTAAATAGCTTAGAATTTTCCTATCCTATTTGATTAAGAATAATTAGGAAGTTGTTTATTTGCATAAATGAACTATCTTAGCAAAGACCGAACATACATTTGTAGCTCATAGGGTATACGAACTTTCATGTGCAACTAACGACTTGATAAAGCAAAGATAACCTCTCCCAACGCTACGCTGTATTCTGAAAAGTACTAGGTTTCATAACATTACATAAGTAATTTGTTATGGATAATCTTTTCTAAAATCTTACTTGGCTTAATAAGTTCATTTACAAAAGGTAAAAAACTACCGACCAATTGTCTATCTCATCACCGATACAAACAGACCGAACTTTTCAATCTTGTCAATAATATACGAAATTAAAAATGTCACGCAAAGAATATTATCGTTTATAATGATAAAATACAATGTTCTAATTCAAGATAAGATGCTCCCTTACCTGCTATGATTGCTAAAATTACCAAAATGTAATGATCGCAAGATCTAAATAGGAGTTGTATAGCAAACTTGTCTTTGAAAATATGTTGAACAATAAATAACCCAAGAAAAAACTGTACTTTATATATGTCTACTTCTTGCGAATCAAAATCATTATAAAAATATCAGATAGCCCGAAGCCCATGACAAAGAATTCAACGAATCACGTCTCGAAATCAGAGCTAGGAACCGTATATACTATGGTTTGAAATAACGATATAGCTGTTACCATCAAGTTTTTTCCTTAATAGATCAATGAAGTATGAGAAAAATGGTCAATACGAACTGCACTTTACAGATTATCAAGCATCTTACAGGACTAACAACGAGTGAAAATGAAGTGGAAGATCAAGAGCCGTCTACTATCAAGTCGCACTTATATGATCTTAGTGACAATACACAAAAATAGAGGGGAGCGGCCAAACCAAAACGTGGCATCAGTTATTGAAGTCTGAGCCATGTTGGTAGATGAAAACTACTTGGTTGGGGTCCGTGCGACTATCGTAACCAATGGTTGGAGACTCTTGATGACATGGCTCAGAATCGATCACAATGGAGTAGGTGTATACACTCTGTCTTCCTTTAAACTAGGGATTAAAATCGGTTCATATCTTTCTTTCTACGAATTAAATCTTTCTGTATCGTAACCTTATATGCAATCTTTCTTTCATATAATACCACCACTGAACTAACTATTTCTATGAATTTGATGTTCATCTTGTGATAATGAAGTGTGGCAAGTTACACTGATGCATATATGTTTCTGGTCCTACGTTGTAGCTGACTGACTGAGAGGAGGGTCAAATAAATTCGTGAGTTATCATATAAAATTTTTCGAAAGAAGCGATAATTATAGGCACAACTGTGGGGAGTTAGTATGCTGCTTATGCCTTCAATCATTACCTAGAAGCTATAGTCAGACTATACCAGGTAATGACATGTATATTGAGTTCTCTTAAGTATGGTAAGTAGATTCTGTTCATCATACTGGTTCAATAATTGCTCTAAAAATGTTGTTTTAATTGAATAGTACAAGATGTATGTTTTACTAATAACAATAGCAGGTAGACTCAAGTGACAATAGTTCAAGTTGATACAGCTCACCCGTCTTTTTCTTCATGTGTGCACATACTTTGAGTTTGCGGTAGAGGTTATCATAGTTTTATGAGTACATTCATAGATCCACTGTAAACAAATATAATACGTTGCTAGTTCGGTAAACTAGGTAACATAAGTCCGATTTTCATAACAGAATAACGAAAAGCCATAGAAGAACATGTGTGAAGTAGTGTTTGTATACGGAAAGAAGTAGGACAGACAAACTAGACATACGTTCGGAGTGGAGTTAAAACAAAGTAGAAAGCATGTCCGGTTTATTCAGGAAATAAAGGGCCAAGAAAACAAAGGGAGGATATCGGTTACTTATCGATTATCCCTATCTGTTCCGTTATAATCTCCACCTGTCTACATTTACCATTTACTCGTGGGAAAAAGTTCTTTTTCTTACATAAAATCAGCTGAAAGGCTGAGCGACCCGGAAAATTAAAGTATCAACAGACATTACTCAGTTAATAAAACTGAAACTGGAAAATGAACTCAGCAGAATTCTTTCCAACGTTTGGTCTTTGGTAGATTTTACATTGGCATAATAGCAAGCTAAATTCTGTGGAGTGTAATAAGTAGGGTTAGCGAAAATTTCGGAGGAAGCAATGATCAGTGAACGATTCAGTGACTATAAATAAAGCATTTACACTCAGCAGTGAAAGCGACCAACGACAACATTTATGTAACATGGTTGTTAATGGATTCTGTTTTCTTTCTATTGCATGGCGATCAAGGATAAAAGCTTTGGAAGAAAAAAGAGCAAACCCTGCCTGCACTAAACATACAAGATGACTTTTTCCTTACCCGTGGACACCCGGCAGGTGACTATCCAGTTCTTATCGCGTCACCGGAAAGCGAGTGAGAATCCGACCGACTATCTCAACGCCTTGCACTCTACCTCTAACCGTAATCTGGCAGACATTATTAGCATGACAAGAAGATAAATGGTAAAGACACGGCTTATCTAAGTTATAAAAACGGTTATGGCCGCATCTCCTAGCATTTCCGCCAAACCTTCTGCAGTATATGCGTTCAGCTTGAAGGCCATCGACCATCGGTGATGAATGGAGCAAGCCACAGAATCTAGTTGAATGGATAGTTCCCAGGAGGCAACGGCTGTTACAGACTTTTTTAGCCGGGGTACCAGTCGCGGGCAGTCAAGATCGAGGTGGAAAAGACGGCTATCATGGAACGACTACCATGGCCTTCAAGCTGAACGCATATACTGCAGAAGGTTTGGCAGAAATGCTAGGAGATGCGGCCATAACCGTTTTTATAACTTAGATAAGCCGTGTCTTTACCATTTATCTTCTTGTCATGCTAATAATGTCTTCCAGATTACGGTTAGAGGTAGAGTGCAAGGCGTTGAGATAGTCGGTCGGATTCTCACTCGCTTTCCGGTGACGCGATAAGAACTGGATAGTCACCTGCCGGGTGTCCACGGGTAAGGAAAAAGTCATCTTGTATGTTTAGTGCAGGCAGGGTTTGCTCTTTTTTCTTCCAAAGCTTTTATCCTTGATCGCCATGCAATAGAAAGAAAACAGACTCCATTAACAACACCACATACAGTGATTTCTACCCCTTATATTTAGGAAGATCAAACTCACCTCCCCGCTCCAACAACCTTGAAGAGGAACAACAAAAAACCTACAGATTGATATATTCAAATTCGCATACTGAGGACAGAATGCCTACTGTCTGTGTAAGTTGCTTTCTATTAGGCTTCTAAGAGAGTCCAATCCTCTTTGTAATGAGTCAATTGAAGGGGCTGACACCACCTCGGGTAACAGGTTACAGGAATTGATGAATTTACACTACAGGTATTTTAAGTAAGGGCTTAAGCCAGGACGAGGTTTTCAGTTTTGAATCTTACTAAAATTAAGTATTCTGTAATGAAAATATTAACACTTAACTCAGCATATTTTCATCCTAAAGCCCAAAATGATTTAGATTCTTTAGCTGCGACCTCGCAGCAGTGGCCCGTAGTATTGAGAACATTACTCGCTGTCACCTCAAGATCTTTCCCAGACCGGACTACGGGCAATGACTTTTAACACATGATGTACCTATTTACCATTGTATCTACAACGCACATATAGACACACTTGGCCACATTGATAGGCATTAGCCTGTAGTGGCCTACTTTTATCAACAGAACGTGATTGGGATAATGAGAACAATTAATATCATAACCAATTGTCCTAGTGATTGTTTTACTGTACTTGTTTGTTTCACTGTACCAAAGACATTCTTTCCTCCGTTGATTGTGACCTTGTATGCGCTTACGTTTGCTCAGTGAATTCGCTTGTATTTCTTGGCATGATCTCGGTATTCTTTCGATACTACGAAATCGCCAACAAACACATTTCGACTACAGCCATCATCTGCCATCTGATATTGGCCTACAGGGATCCTACTGGTTAGCTGGCACGTAGTCTTCTTGTAGCGGTGTCCATAGTCAGCCGCGACTCGACGCCACGCTACGAGCCATTTGTAGATCAACTAATCAGGAGGTCTAAGTTCGCCCGAAGTCCTCACGTTATTTCTCGCAAGATGTTAACATTATCGGTGTATCGTAGAGTTGAAGACGCAGTTACACTCGAGAATTTATTTACATGTAGCACAAAAAGTAAAGGATCTAAGACAGAGTCTTGAGGTACTCCACTGCGTACTGGTTTCCAGGAGGATCATATGAAATTCATTCTTACTCTCTGATACGAATTGCTAAGAAATCTCTTCGGCTGCTTATTTATAGATTGGACTAACTGTTTTTCATATTTTTGCTAAGTACAGATCTAATATCCAATGTTGAAAATCTTTGTAATAACCTAAGGCAAACTAAGAATGTTTTCAAACCCACTTCTTGTAGTTTTGGTACAACTTTTACGTCTTAGAAGTGGTCATTAATCAGTAGTTTATCCACTCAATGTGATTAAATGAGGGTTTGTGTATCTTTTAATTTTAATAAGTGTGTTTGTCTTATGCTTATAGTTTTTCAGAGGCCAGAAGCTCCCACATTATAAGGCAACAGGTTTTTGGTGGCGAAATGAAAAATAAGAAGCAAAATTTTCACTATATGCGTTCAAACGAGAGATGATGGTCAAAAGAACGAAGTAAATGAATCAATAATGGATTAGATGCATTAACATTATGAATAAACAGAAGCTTTAGAACAACTGGTAACCGTATATGAACAGAAACGAGAAGGCAGTCGGGTGATGGTATGTGATAATAATAATAATAATAATAATAATAATAATAATAATAATAGTAGACAGTTAGTGAGATATTCCTCTAGTAATTCTCATCCATTGAAAAGGTGTTAGCAACAAACACTCTGTATAATGGGAAGAGCTCCGCTTGCATTTTAATCGGTTTTCAAATAACCTACGACTGGCATTCCTTGATTGATTTGTTTGAAGATAATTATGAGAGCATTTTCGCTAAAGATATATTGTTCTTGTCACTGGCCCTCAATCTTAATCAAAAGACATTTTAACAGGATAACTTTGATCTTACTGTTAACCACACATTTCCCTAATGTCATGATATCGTTTTGGAGCCTGAGTGGATCCTCTTCCTTTCTTACGGATCTCAACATCTTGGTGTTAGGGGCGCGGATTAGGGTCCGTGAGCTACAGATCGGTAATGCAATCAGAAAACCGAGTGTCCTAAGGTTGCTTCCCCGTGAAAGCACTGTTGTTGAAACACCGCAGCTTGCATGCATTCTGCTTACCTTGGCGCATAACGTTCGCTTCTTCAAATGACCTGTGAGCCAAGATATAATCGCGTCAACGTAACCCATCCCTGTCAAGCACAAGCAGAGTACATAGAAGCAAACAAGAAAGTGAAGAAGAGCATTAGAGCTGATAAGCAAAAATACGTGGAAGAACTAGCAACGACGGCGGAAAAAGCTGCAAGAGAAGGAAATATGAGACAGCTTTACGATACGATGAAGAAGCTTGCAGGGAAATACAGTAAACCAGAGAGACCAGTCAAAGACAAAGAAGGAAGACCAATCACTGAGATTCAACAACAGCGCAACAGATGGGCAGAGTACTTCGAGGAACTCCTGAACAGACCGGCTCCAATGAATCCACCGGACATCGAAGCAGCACACACAGATCTTCCTATAAATGTCAATCCACCAACGACAGAAGAAATCAGAATGGCCGTCAGACAAATCAAGAGCGGGAAAGCAGCAGGACCTGACAATATACCAGCTGAAGCGTTGAAGTCAGACATCGAAGTAACTACAAGCATGCTTCATCTTCTATTCAAGAAGATTTGGGAGGAGGAACAAGTGCCGATGGATTGGAAAGAAGGACACCTCATCAAGATTCCAAAGAAAGGAGATCTGAGCAAGTGTGAAAACTACAGAGGCATTACACTACTGTCAATACCGGGTAAAGTCTTCAACAGAGTGTTACTGAACAGGATGAAAGACGCAGTTGACGCTCAACTTCGAGATCAACAAGCTGGATTCCGTAAGGACCGGTCGTGCACAGACCAGATTGCGACACTACGGATCATCGTCGAACAATCAATTGAGTGGAACTCGTCACTCTACATCAACTTCATTGATTATGAGAAGGCATTTGACAGTGTAGATAGGAGGACGTTATGGAAACTTCTTCGACACTACGGAGTTCCTGAGAAGATTGTCAACATTATCCGGAACTCATACGACGGACTACAGTGCAAAGTAGTGCATGGAGGACAGCTGACAGAGGCATTCCAAGTAAGGACCGGAGTAAGACAAGGCTGTCTACTCTCTCCCTTCCTGTTTCTTCTGGTGGTCGACTGGATTATGAAGACCTCGACATCTGAGAGAAACTACGGCATACGATGGACAGCTCAGAACCAATTAGACGACTTGGACTTCGCAGATGACCTAACCAACCTATCACATACACACGAACAAATGCAGATAAAGACAGCCAGCATAGCAGCAGTCTCTGCATCAGTAAACCTCAACATACACAAAGGGAAAACCAAGGTCCCCAAACACAACACGGAGAACAACAATCCAATCACTCTTGATGGCGAAACTCTGGAAGACGTGGAATCCTTCATATACCTGGGAAGCATCGTCGATAAACAAGGAGGTTCAGATGCAGACGTCAAGGCGAGGATTGGCAAAGCTAGAGCGGCATTCTTTCAATTAAAGAACATATGGAACTCAAAACAACTTTCAACCAATATCAAAGTCAGAATCTTCAATACGAACGTCAAGGCAGTTCTACTGTACGGAGCTGAAACTTGGAGAACTACAACAGCCACCATCAAGAAGGTACAGGTATTTATTAATAGCTGTCTACGCATGATACTCAACATCCATTGGCCCGATATCATCAGCAACAGCCTTTTGTGGGAGAGAACCAACCAGCTTCCAGCTGAAGAGGAAATTAGGAAAAGACGATGGAAATGGATATGACATACATTGAGGAAATCATCAAACTGCATTACGAGACAAGCGCTAACTTGGAATCCTGAAGGGAAGCGGAAAAGAGGAAATCCAAAGAACACATTACGTCGGGAAATAGAAGCAGATATGAAAAAGATGAATCAGAACTGGAAAGAGCTTGAAAGGATCGCCCAGGACAGGGTTGGATGGAGAATGCTGGTGAGCGGCCTATGCTCCTTCACGAGGAGTAACAGGCGTAAGTAAGTAAGTAAGTAAGTAACCCATCCCTGTAACGTTTTTTATAAGTAGTGCGCGAAATATCGTATAGTGTTGCTGCTTTTAAACAATATGTGGTAAATATGTATTAATCGACTTCCAACATAACATAAAACGAAAACGGTAGAAACCGAGTTTCTTTAAGCGTACTTCTGGTTGATCGTCAAAAAATCTCATTATGTGTATTGAGATAAACATTTTTGTCAAAGCCTTCGCATTGTTTAAACTGATCACTATTGTTGTCTAATAATAACTTATTCATAAATTAGTTTCAAAATGAAACCATCTGTACATACTGTTTGCTTTGTCTAGATGGTGAAAGTGTTCTTATTATGGAAGATGTTGGTATTGTCTATCTTCCATCGAATACAATGTCTAAGAATATGATAAACTATACAGTTTATATTTCGTAATCGGTAGACCTTGCCTGGGAGAGTTCATCTTATGTATGCCAGAAGCATATGACGGCAAGGACACCGGCATGTCCCAATTTATCCACGATTCAGGTTACATCTGTTCGCAAAACATTTCGCTTCCGGGCAAATAGAACAGGACACCCTCAACCAAAATTATCCCAAAAATTTACCCAAATCGGACAAAATTTTACAAAAAATCTGGAGAATGGAGAGGTGCGAAGCAACAATCCATCCAACATGTGCACTACAAGATAGAGAGAGCTAAATCAATGTTCTTTGCAATGATTTTGTGGTTTTCCTTCAGCAAAAAGCAAATTAAATATGAGAACACCTGTCGTTTGTGCAACTCGACGGACATCCAACAAACCTACAGCATTTGAAATACTAAATGATTGCCTCTCGTGACGCCGTTCAAAGTCGCTGAAATGGAACGGCGGGCAGATTTGAAGGGGTATGACTTTTTTTCTATGTCAATCCCGCGCCAAAATCTAAGATCTGCTATCTTAAATCTGACTAGTTCGT